GCAGTTTATATAGATATAATTAATGGTTTTTTATATGCATGTTATTTGCTTACATATCTTTGTTAAAAATCTTTATTGAAAATTTTCATAGAAAGATTTTGTCCCATTTGAATGATTCCTTTTTAATCCTAAGTGCATTAATTTTGTTTGTACAAAAGCCTTTGAACTTAATATGATCAGTTATCTATTTTATCTTTTACTTCATCTATCACTTATGTGCTTGATAATATATTTCCTTCCCATAGCTGTGAAAGGCATGTTATCTACTTCTCTCACCTTTAAAAAATATAGAATGATCTTTTTATATTAAGATCAGATATCCATTTAGAACAAATCATGGAGTACGGTATAAGGTATTGGTCTGAGCCTAATTTCTGTTGAACTGATTTCCAGTTTTCTGAAGTTTTTTTTTTTAATCTAGTAGAGAGATCTCTTATAAGTAATTTCTTTGAGAGTGTGCTCAGGATTTGGGAAAGTGAATAAAGAATTAAATGAATGGGGACAATGTAGATAGAGAGGGATCTGATATCTTTTGTACTCATATTGTGGAAGAAAGGATCCACAGGAAGGAATGAGGGATGTGTTCAGTATATGAAAACTACTGCACTTAGGTTAGGGATGGGAAGAAAATCTCTCCTTCAGTCTCTCTTTCATCTCAGGGAAAGAAGCCAACTTAAGGGTTCTTATGATTTGAACACCTTTAAAATCCTTAGATTTTTCTGGTCTGACTGTAGTCTGATCGACTAGAGATGTATGAATCGAAAGGAATATATCTTTTTTGCTCTGTTCCTGCAGGTACATTGAATCTAAAAGGTATAATCATAGCATTAAGTAGAATGTTGACTAGTGCACCATCGAGGGGAATTCCAATTTGTCCCTCCCCTTCCTTTTGGGGGAATAGCTAATAGGAATACTCCCCCAAGAATCCTCTGAGCATCTGACCCACTGCAAGCCCATGCAAGGGTTTATTAAGGGGCTGTTTTTGCTAAGAAATAAGCAAGGTACAGGGGCTACAAAGGCAAAAAGGAAAGAGTTCCAGGACCTCACGTACCCTCCATATTACAGGAAGGAAATATAATATACAAAGATAAGTAAATACAAAGGAATTACCCTCTTCTAAGTGGGCAATTCCTTAATAATAAAGAATGAAGGGGGGGTCATGCAGAAAGGGCAGCAAAGCAAACTACTAGATTAAAAATACTTATATTCGGTGTTCTATACCCATATTCTACCACCTCCATAATAGAAAGTATGCTGGTACTTTATCATACCACCTCTTTGAGGAGAAGCTTAGTCTTCATTATTCCATGTAATTCCATTTCTGTAGTTTGATTATGGTTCTTTTATTTTTATTGTTAGTTGTGTATTGTTTTATTGAATTATATCCATGTTTTTTTTGTTTGCTCCTATCCATTGTTTCTCGTGGTATAGCAATTCAATTATTTACAAGATGGACTCTGAGACCTTTTTATTTAACTTTTTTTTTCACTTCTGCTTTATTTTTTTTATAATTCAAAGTCTGACACCAAGCTCCTTTTAAGTGAAATACTCTCCAGTCTGACCTTCCTTCTCTAAATACATATTCTTTCCAAATTACTTCATAAATACTGTTGAACTGAATTATGCTGTGTTTACTTTCTATTTCTATGTTCTTTCCAAAGTATAAGAGAAAGGAACACAGACTCCTCTACTTTCTTATAACAGAGATGTACAAGAAGTGCTCCATGTTATGCCATTTTTCTCTGCTTCTCCTCCTCACTAGCAGTACTGTTCTTTCCTAATCATTTGACTAAAAAGATAAATACTGAATAGTATTGTACCTCCTAGCCTAGTGCAATAGCCTCCCAATTTTCATTCCACTTTGAATCTCTTCCCTTTCCAGTTCATACTTCACACAGATGACAAAATGATCATCCTGAAGCTCAGAATCATAGAATTTGGGGATAGCCATGGCCACCTATTCCAATCCATACACAAAAGAGATCCTTACTATAACACACTTGACAAGAAGTTGTTTAGCCTCTGTTTGAAGACGACCAAGGAGATGCTGCTGGTTTTACCCTCTGGGGACAAATAGAACTAGCTTAATCCTCACAGGTCTCACCACATACATTGCCCTGTTCAAAAAGCTCCAGTGGTTCTCTATTGCCTCTCAGATCATTTATTTGGCATTTAAAGCCCACCACAACCAAGATCCAACCTATCTGTCCAGGTTTGTTACTTAGTATTCTGCACACATCGGGGGCCAGCCAAACTATCCTTGCTGTGTCTTTTATGCCTTCAAACAGGTTGTCCTGCATTCCTAGAATGAGTTCCCTCCTTATATTTACCTTGTAGAATGATCAATCTCATTCATCACTCAATTGAAGTGGTACCTGTTCCCTGATGTCTTTATTTAATACCCTCTCCCTCACCCACCGCTTGTAGTGCCTCGATCTGTCTATTATTACCTTGTATTTTTATGTATACTTTTGTGTATAATTATATGTGTACATGTTATTTCCTCTAATAGAATCAAACAAGTTCCTTGAGAGCAAAACCGACTTTATTTTTCTTTGTATCATCCAAACCTAGAACAGCACTTGGCATATGACAGGCATTAATACAGGTGTGTTGATTTATTGCTTGTTCTATTCAATAAGAATTTATTAAATGTTTTCTTCATGCAGTATGTTTTAGTGGACGTGGAGTCAGGAAGATAGAATCACAGAATATGAAAATTCAAAGGGACCTCAGTTGTCACATAATCCAACTGTTACAGAAAGGAATCCTCGCTATAACACAGCTAATGGTTAAGCGTTCATCCAAGCTCTGCTTAATTCCCTCCAAGGAGGAGGAGCCCATTACTTCTTGAGGTAGCTCATTCCACTTTGGGGCTCTTTTAATTGCTAGAAATTATTGGTTTCAATTTAATTCCTATCTCTTACGCAAACTAGCTGTGTGGCCAAAGGGAAGTCCTTTCATCCAAGCAAATCTCGAAGACTCTTAATTATACTCATCAGTGCAAGTAGTTTGAACACTAAGAATCCCTGAAACTGATGGATTTATAGATTTGGAACTCTAAAACCCTAAATGAACAAGTTACAGCAATAGGTGCTATGGGCAAAAGAAAAAAAAATCCCTTTTTATCAAGAAGCTTACATTCTCCTATGGATATATACTATCTATCTATCTATCTATCTACCTATCTATCTATCTATCTACCTACCTATTTATCTATTTGTCTATCTATCTATCTGTTTGTTATTTATTTATGTTAAATTATATTTTCCTCCAATTACATGTAAAGGCAGCTAAATAATTAACATGACTTAAGAAACAAAAAGGCTCCAAAATATGAGAATTAGGCAGGATTCTAGTAAGTGGCACCTGAGTTATCCCTTGGAAGCTGCTAAGAACACCAAGAGGATACATATGAGTCAATAACTCTATCCAGGTTTTCAGTTGCTTAGCTATCACTGAATAAGTGTTTCCTGTGTGCCAAGCACTGCATTAAGCTCTAGGATATAAATAAAGGGGGAAAACAGGGCAGGCAATGGAAAATCACAGGGGTAGGATATAGCATGCCAAATTTGAGGACCAGCTGGCAGTCCAGTTTGGTTGCCACATGGAGTATATTCAGGAGAGTGATGTAAAATCATTTAGAGAAGGGAGGTTAGAGCCAAATTTTGAAGGGCTTGAAATGCAAAACTGAGAAATGTATGTGTTATATTGAGGTAATAGGAAGCCACCATAGATTCTTGAGGAGCAGAATGACATGTTTGCACATTGGCTTTAGGATTATTTTGTCAGTTTTATGCAGGGTAAATTGAAAGAGTTACTGAAAGTAGGAGATCAATTAAGGTGGTAGTGTAATAATCCAGGTTAATCCACAGACTATTATTAATAATATCTCAATAATTAAATATTAATAATTTATATCATGCTTTGTAAAGAGTTTCCTCACAATTTGTTGTTCAGTCATTTCAATCATGTTTGACTCGTCATGACTCCATTTGAGGTTTTCTTGGCAAAGATACTGGAATGGTTTTCCATTTCCTTCTCCAGCTCATTTTATAGAAGAAATTGATGCAAACAGGGTTAATGGATTTGTCCAGGGTCACACAGTTACTAAGTGTTTGAGACTAGATTTGAACTCAGTGAGATGAGTCTTCCTGACTCCAGCCATCTGGCACTCTCTCCACTACGCCACCTAGTGGTTATCCTCACAATTACATTGTGAGATATGTAACAGATGAAATAATGTCGTAACTTTAACAAGATCACAAGATTAGGAATTCTGACTCAAAGACCAATGGGGTCTTCATTACGCCACACTGCCTATCTTAGGGTGATAACAAAAGTCTGCAAGGAGGAGTGCTGATGCATCTTTCAAGGGACTCTCATTCCCTTGTAGTAAGGAGGTAATTCATTTGTTCTTTAGTCTTATCAGTACTGACTTGATATGTCACAGGTTAGGGAGTTCAACTCATGACCAACACTGATAGATGGGTTAGGTGAAGTCACTCCTACAGTTTCAAAACTCCAAAGTCATGAAACAGGTTTTCTGTCTTGCATCATACACATCAATGAGTCATCAAGATTTTATTAAGCAACTATTAATCCCAGGCACTGGGAACACAAAGACATAAATGAAACTGTCCCCAAGGAGCTTACAGTCAGTTAGAGTCTGCTTGAAAGGACACTTAAATACTAGTTATTTCCCTAATTCAATATTCCATGAGGCAAATAGGTGGCCCAGTGGATAAAGCACTGGGTCTAGTGTTAGGAAGATCTGAGTTCAAATTCATTCTTTGACCCTCAGATAGCTATTGGCTCTGTGTCTCTGAGCAAGTAGGTTATTTAGAAATACTTATTTTATTGAATTGAACTATTTAATTTATCTGTCAGTCTTTCTCAAGGCTGAACATTGTAGCATCAAGTTCCAATGCCTGTGAGTCAAAAACATTCCATAATTTTTTTTCTCCAGGAGAGACAAATACAGAATTTAGTGACACACAATGGACATGATGTCTCTTCTCAATGCAACAGAGTCCAGATTCTCCACCTTCCTAGTGACAGGAATCCCTGGACTAGAGGCCATGCATATGTGGCTCTCTATTCCCTTTAGTGCCATGTTCCTACTGACCCTGACAGGCAACATCACCATCATGTTGGTTATCTGGACTGAGAGGAGCCTCCATGTTCCTATGTACCTCTTCCTGGCAATGTTGGCAGCTTCAGACCTAGGTTTGTCTATCTCCACATTCCCCACTATGCTCAGGATCTTCTGGCTGGAGGCCCGGGAAATGAGCTTCCCTTCCTGTTTCATCCAGATGTTCTTCATCCACACCTTCCAGGATTTTGAGTCAGCTGTCATTCTGGCTATGGCCTTTGACCGTGTTGTGGCCATTTCCAAACCCTTGCATTATGCCTCCATCCTTACCAGTCGGGTAATCTTGAAGATTGGGCTGGCCATTTTGATACGAACAGTTGCAGTGCAAGTCCCCCTTCCCATCTTGCTGAGGAGGCTAAGCTTCTGTCGTTCTAATGTGCTATCCCACTCCTACTGCCTACATCCAGACATTATCAAACTCTCCTGCTCAAATACCAGGATAAACAGCATCTTTGGCTTATTTGTTGTCCTTTCCACCATGGGCCTCGACTTCCTTCTCATTCTCCTCTCTTATGTCCTAATTCTAAAGACCGTGCTATGCATTGCATCCCATGGGGGTCGCCTCAAGGCCCTCAATACCTGCATCTCCCATCTCTGTGCTGTGATTCTTTTCTTCACTCCCATGATCTGCCTGTCCATGCTGCACAGGTTTGGACCAAAGCTTCCTTCCCATGTGTATGTGCTCATGGCTAACATGCACTTCCTCATTCCCCCTGTGATGAACCCCATTGTCTATGTGGTGAAGACCAAGCAAATTCGGGATAGGATCATTAGGGTCTTTCACAGCAAGGGACCAGAAGAGTCCTAAATAACATTTATAAAGTGCCTTTTTAAGGGAGAGAGTTTTCTTAATGCCAATTTTTTATCTGATCATTGTGTCATTATTCTAAAGATATGAAGAAATTTAAGCCCAGGGAAGTTAAATTACTTGACTGAAGTCACACAAAGAATAAGCACCAAAAGTTGAATATGAGCCCAGGTTTTCTAAATGCACATCCCATGGTTTTGTTAGTTTAGCCCACTTCCTGGATAGTTGAGAGATTTAACCAAAGGTCCCCAGCTGACTCAAACTCCTAAGAGTCTACAAGTCAGTGATGAGAAGGATGAGATGCCCATTCTCCCTGCCTTATTGTTTTGTGTGCTCAATTTGCCTTGATCTTTCTAGCTCTATCCTGATTCCCTCACCATCATAAATTTACGTAGGAATATAGGACTATATAAAACTTCAGGGGATGTTGTCAAGAAGATTCATCCACACATCAGGGAATTGGATTTGGTGCCTTTTGAGGTCAATTTCAGCTTTAGTGCTCTGTGATTTTGTGATTGTAAATAGAATATTCAGAGTTATAAGATTTTGATTCTGTTAAGTCAAGAGAGACTGCACCTAGCTAGGGTAGGAAGGTATAGAGTAAATAAAAGATTCTGGGGCAATTATGTTGGGTAATAGTAAAACATTTGCTTCTAATGAAGTTACTAGAACTCAAGAAAAGCAGCCAATGTTATCAGGATGTGAGCAGTTACAATGGAAGGTGTGCTAGATTTAGAGGCAGCAGGAATAAGCCGGAATCTTGGATCTTCCATTTACTAAATGGTTGATCTTGGGAGAGTCATTTAATTTCTCTGGATCTCATATGGTCCCTTTCATGTCCAAATCTATGATCCTATGGGGACTTTTTTGTAAAAGAACTAGTAATGGCAAGTTTTCTCCAGAGCTCCTCCAGAAAGGAAGCTACTGGGACAAAAAAAAAATAGTAACACCCACATGATTGCACATGGTTAGCCAGTTCACCAGTCACCAATCCACATTAAAACTGTTTGTGGTCATTATACTGATCTAACTCAGATGAACTAGATCATCTTTAATAGTCCATGGTCTATTTACTGGCCACCTGTCTTCATTATTCTGCTTCTGGAATAAAAACTCCCTCATGGATGGACAGGAGTCTTACTGTCCCACCTACTGGAAATTTTAATTTAATGAAATGTTATCCCAGGCCTGTGAAGCAACTGCTTTTCTTTGGCCTTCCCCAGTTTCCATAATATTATTATTATTACTTTCCTTGTCAAGTTTATATTTACATATTTCTCTCCTGATTCATCTCTGATGACACTTAGGCACCACAAATCATTTCTGTTTACCTTATAAATCATTATCTCTCCTTCCAGGCAAGCACACTAAAAATACAATCCTTTCTCATTCTTATACCCCTGCTTCTTCCTGCATGCACAACATCACCTTTGTTGTTGTTTTGTTTTGTTTTGTTTTTGCACATAAATGTCACAATACAAATTTCTAACATTGAAGAAAAATAAGCCACCTTCAGTCGTCTTCAGATCTTATCTATTCGGCAGGCCTTCTATGTCCAAACAATTGCCAAATCTTGTTGAATTTACTTCCACAACACATCTCATATAGATCCTTTCCCTCCACTCACAGAGGGTCCTAACTCAGGTCCTCACTTAGATTATATGTTTTATTGTTGTTCAGTCATTTCAGTTGTATCTGATTCTTTGTGATCACATTTGGAGTTTTTGGTAAAGATACTGGAGTGGTTTCCTATTTCCATCTCCAGCTCATCTTACATTGAGGAAACTGAGACAAACAGGTTTAAGTGACCTGACCAGGGTCACATAGTAAGTATCTGAGGCAAGATTTGAACTCAGGTCTTTCTAACTATAGGACCAGAGTTCTAACCACTGTACCAAGTAGCTGTCCTAATCTTATCAATAGGTATGTATTTAGTTGTTTTTTCCCCTGCTTTCAGTATCTCCCCTTTACAATCAATCTTCTATGCCACTACTAAGATCATCTTTAGAAAGTTGAGATGTGACCATGTTATTCCCTTGCTCAAGAATTTTCAGTGGTTCCCTATTGCATCTAAGATAAAACATAAACTCCTTATCTTGACATTTAAAGATCTTCACAATTGGATTCCAACTTACCTTTCTAGAAAACTACATTACTCCCCTTGATACATTCTACTTTTACTGTTCAACAAGCTCCCTTGTTCTTCCTTGAACTCAACATTCCAACTCTTGTTTCTGTGCCTTTAGATAACCTCCTTGTCTCCTTGCCTAGAAAGTACTCCCTCTTCCCCTCTACTTTTAGAAGATCTAGCTTTCCTCAGGATTCAATGTAATTGTTATACCTTATTTCTGATCCCCCAAGTTCTTACTGCTTACTCCCTGCTCAAATTGTTTTGTATTTCCTTACCAATGTCAATAGTATTACCTCCAGAAGAATGCAAAGTCTTTGAAGCATCACAATTTGACAGTCTTATCTTTGTATATGCAGTACCTAGAATAATGTTCTGCACATAGATGATGCATAATAGATGCATTTTGAATTGTGTTATTTTTCTTTTTTGATAATATTTTTCTCAAATTACAGTTAAAACAATTTTTAAACATTTGAAAATATTTTGAGTTTCAAATTCTATCCCTCCCTCCTTCCCTCTCTTCTTCTTTCCCTTCTCCCTGAGATGGTAAGCAATCCAATATAGGTTATGCATGTGCAATAATGTAAAACATTTCCATGTTAGTCATTTTGTATAATAAGATGAATAAAAAAAAGAATGAAAGAAAAAAGAAAGAGGAAAATAGCATGCTTCAGTTTTTATTCAGACAATATTAGTTCTTTCTCTAGAAGCAGATTGCATGCTTCATCATGACTGCTTTGCAATTGTCATGGAATTGTCATAGCTGAGAATATAGGTCATTCACAATTTTTCATTGTAGAATATTACTGTTACTGTGTACAATGTTCTCCTGGTTCTGCTCGCTTCACTCTGCATTAGTTCATGTAAGTCTTTCCAGGTTTTTTTTTTCTGAAATCATCCTGTTTGTCATTTCTTATAGCACACTAATATTTCATCATTATGATATACCATAGCTTGTTCAGCCATTCACCAATTGATGGGCATTCCTAGGATTTCTAGTTCTTGGCCGCTACAAAAAGCTGTCATGAATATTTTTGTACAAATAGGTCTTTTCCCCTTTTAAAAATCTTATTAAATATTCAAGTTTTCCCAATTATATATAAAAACAATTTTAACATTTTCTTCCAAATTTTGAGTTCAAAATTCTCTCCTTCTCTCCCTTCCCCCCTCATTGAGAAGGCAAGCAATTTTACATAGTTTATACATGTGCAGCCATGCAAAGCACATTCCCATGTAAGTCATTCTATGAAAGAAAACCCAGACCAAAAACAAAAACCAAGAAAAATAAAATAAAGGAAAATTATCTGATCTGTATTCAGACTCTAGCAGTTCTTTCTCTGGAGATGGAATGCACCTTTCATCATAAGTCCTATAGAATTGTCTTGGATGATTGCATTGCTGAGAATAGATAAGTTATTCATAGTAGACCATCATTCAGTATTGTTGTTACTGTGTGCAATGTTCTCCTGGTTCTGCTAATTTCACTTTGCATCAGTTCATGTAAGTCTTTCCAGGTTTTTTTCTGAGAGCATCCTAATCATTATTCCTTAAAGCACAATAGTATTCCAATCACAATCATATATAACAACTTGTTCAACCATTTCCCAACTGATGGACATCCCCTCAATTTCCAGTTCTTTGCCACCACTAAAAGAGATGCTATAATTATTTTTGTACACATATGTCCTTTTCCTTTTTTATCTCTTTGGGATACAGATCTAGTAGTTATATTGCTTGGTCAAAGGGTATGCATGGTTTTATAGTCCTTTGAACAGTTCCAAATTGCTCTCCAGAATGGTTGAAACAGTCTACAACTTCACCAATAGTACATTAGTGTTTTAATTTTTCCACATCACCTCCAATATTTGCCATTTTTCCTTTCTGCTATATTAATCAAACTGACAGGTATGAGGTAGTAGCTCAGAGTTGTTTTAATTTGCATTTCTCTCATTAATAGTGATTGAGAGTATTCTTTTTCACATGACTATAAATAGCTTTGATTACTTTGTCTGAAACCTGCTTAATCATATTCTTTGACCGTTTTATCAATTGAAGAATGGCTCTTATTTTTATAAATTTGACTCAGTTTTCTCTGTTTGAGAAATGAAGTCTTTATCAGAGAAACTCACTGTAATATTTTTTCACAGTAATGATTACCAACTATGTATTTTCCTCAATCTTATTTTACCCATTTATCCTACTCTCTCTCTCTCCTTTTATCCTATCCATTCTCAAAGGTGTTTCGCTTCTGACTTTTACCTCTCCTAAAACTGCCTTCCCTTCTATCAGCCCTCCCTTCTCTTATCCCCTTCACTTCCTGCTTTTCAAGTAAACTAAGAGATTTCTACACCCAACTGAATATGTTTATTAGCCAATTCTGATGAGAGTAAGGTTCATTTTCTCCATTTCCCACTTCCTCCATTTTCCTCTCTGCTGTAAAATTTCTTATAGGCCTCTTTTACATCAGATAATTTATCTCATTCTACCTCTTCCTTTCCCTTCTCCCAGTGCTTTCTTCTTTCTCATCTCTCTTTTTTTTTTTAGATAATCATATCATCACATATAACTCACACCTCTGCTTTATATCTATGAGGAGTTATAAATGTCATTTTACCATGTAGGAATATAAACATTTTAACGTCATAAAATCCCTTATGATTTTTCTTCCTTGTTTACTTTTTTATGCTTCCTTTTCATCTTGTATTTTAAAATCAAATTTTCTATTTAGCTCTGGTCTTTTCTCAAGAATGCATGGAATTCCTCTATCTTATTGAATGTCCATTTTTGCCTCATGGATTATACTCAGTTTTGCTGGGTAGGTGATTATGGTTGTAATCTTGGCTCTTTTATCCTCCAGAATATCATATCC